TGGGGGGGGGGGTTGCCCGTGCCCCGGCCCGCGGGGGGGTTAACGGGCCGCCCGGGGGGGCCTTGTGTTGCAGACGCGGATGCAGAGCCTGCGGCCGGAGCCCGCCGCCCGGTACCGGAACGTGCTGGAGGCCCTGTGGCGCATCGCCCGCACCGAGGGCGTCTGGCGGCCCATGCGGGGCCTGAACATCACCGCCACCGGCGCCGGCCCGGCCCACGCCCTCTACTTCGCCTGCTACGAAAAGTTAAAAAAGACGCTGAGTGACGTTATCCAGGCAGGGGGCAATAGCCATGTGGCCAACGGTACTGCCCCCCGCCGAGCCCCGGGGCCGCCGCACCGGGGAGGGGAGCGGGGTGGGGAGGGCCGGCCCGGTCCCGCGGGGTGGCGGGTCCTTGGGGTGTCCCCACCCCCGTGCTCCCTCCGGCCCCCGTCCCGCCGGAGCCGCCGCCGGTACCGGGCGTGAAGCAGGTCGGTGACCCCGGCTGGGAGGGGTGCCGGTGCACGGGAGCTGCCCGCGGAGGAGCCGGGACACCCACCCGTGGGTCGGTGACGGAGCTCGCTTCGGGAGCGGCACGTGGTTCCAGAGCCCGTCACCTCGAGGTGCCCGTTGGGTGACGCCCGGAGCCGCTGCGGGGGGCAGAGCCCGCCCTCTGCTTACTCTTCCGTGGGGCCCCCGGGGACACTCGCCCCCCTCCGGGCCCCCCGTCCCCCGGTGGCGTGGGCTGGTCCCCCAGCGAGTCCCAGCTGCCCCGGGGGAGGTGGCAGCACGCTGCGATCCCCCCGTCTTCCTTGAGCTGGGGAGTGCCGAGGACCAGCCCGCCTCGCGGAGGGGAGATGGAGGCCGCCCTTCGGATCCCCCCCCTCTTCCCGGGGCCACCTCCTGCGCCCAGGCGGGGGACTCGGGGCCGTGGTGGAGCCCCGGGGTCCCTCGCCTCCCGCCCCTCACCTGTGGCAGTTCTTGTTTTGCAGGTGCAGCCGGGTGTGTAGCGACGTTGCTCCACGACGCAGCCATGAACCCTGCCGAAGGTAATGGTGGCCCCGGCCTGCTGGGGAGGGGAGGGTCGGGGGCCGCCCGCGCCCCTCGGGTCCCCTCCGCGCCACGGAGGGTTCTCTCCTCACCGCTCCCCCAACTGTGAGGATCCTTCGGGGACCAGCAGCAGGTTAGGGTACCCGGTGGAGCCCGTTATGGAGGGTGCGGGTGGAGGAGATTCATTCTGGGGAGCACAGGAGGAGGAAGAGGAGGCAGGAGAACAATGGGCTTTCGCCCCGGGGGGTGGCTGGGGACCGTCACCTGGAGCAGGAGAGAAAGCAATAAGTTATTCCGGGTGTGTGGAAACGGTGCGTTGCTGCAGTGAGATCTCAGGAAGACGTGGTACGGTTCTGGGTCTGTGTTTGAGAAGAAAACTAAAAGAATGGGGTAGAGAAGGCACACAGAGCAGTAAGGGGAAGGGAGATCCTGTGCTGTGGAATGTCTGGAAGATGCTCATTTTGTCGAGCCTGGTATGTAAAAAACTGTGAAAGCACTTGTGAGGAGAAGGATCTGGGGCTCCTGGTGGACAGTAAACTCTCCATGAGCCAGCAATGGGCCCTTGTGGCCAAGAGGCCAATGGGATCCTGGGCTGCGTAGGGCAGAGTGTGGCCAGGAGGTGCAGGGAGGTCATTCTCCCCCTCTGCTCTGCACTGGGGAGGCCACAACTGGAATCCTGCCTCCAGTGCTGGGCTCCCCAGTTCAAGAGAGACAGGGAACTGCTGGAGAGAGTCCAGCGTAGGGCAACAGAGAGGATGGAGGGGTTGGAGCATCTCCCTGATGAGGAAAGGCTGAGAGAGCTGGGGCTCTTGAGCCTGGAGAAGAGAAGGCTGAGGGGAGACCTTCTTCATGCTGCCAAGTCTCTAAAGGGGGGGTTGAAGGAGGATGGAGCCGGACTCTTTCCAGTGGTTCCCAGGGACAGGACGAGGGGCAACGGGCACAAGCTGGACCATGGGAAGTTCCACTGCAATGGGAGGAAGAACTTGTTTGGGGTGAGGGTGGCAGAGCCCTGGCAGAGGCTGCCCAGGGAGGGTGTGGAGTCCCCTTCTCTGGAGATCTTCAAGCCCTGCCTGGATGCTCCTGAGTGCTGTGCTCTGGGCAGCCCTGCTTTGGCCGGGGGGTTGGACTGGAGGGTCTCTAGAGGTCCCTTCCAACTCTGACAATTCCCTGATTCTGTATGAAAAAGGCAGAGGGAGTTTGTAACTGAAGTCTGTGCACGTGGTGGGAGAAGGAGGAATCACAAGGAAAGGCCAGTCCTGAACGGATTTTCTCCTCTTAAAACTGAAGGGCTGATGCCAGCGCAGCTCCAGCTGGTCTGAGCCCAGCAGGGCCCCTGCCTGCTGCCACCCTGCCAAGCTGTGTGCTCAGGCTGTTGGCATTCCCTCCTGGAGCTCCTCTCCTTATCCCAACTGCAGTAGTCTGTCATTGCAGCGGTTTTAGCTCTTTGTGGTGGTACTGAATGGGGGGAGCAGGACAGCACCCCCTGGGTTCTGGGCTCCCCTGCCCGGCTCCCGGAGGTGTTGGGGGGGGGGGGTTTGTGTTTGGTTCTTGCCCCAGAGCAGCTGTGTTTTGGCAGTGGCTGCTAATGGTTCCTGGCTGGTGGGCTCTGCAGCCTGCCGTGGTTCTTCTGCAGTGGAGCCAGCTGGGGAGGGACAGGCTCATCCTGGAAAAGAGGAGAAGAGGTGCAGAGGGGGTTCTCCTGACTGTGTGGTAGCTCTGCAGCAGTGGATGGGGAGACATGGGGCACTTGGCAGCAAGGGGAGATGTGGAGTATGAGCTCCTGGGCATCGGGATGTTCCCTGTGGCTGCAGCAGCTGCAGGGTTTGCAGGTGGTGGTGTCTGTGTGACGGCGATGCCTCGGCAGATCTAACTGTCTGCAGCCCTGCCGGGGGACACGCAGGGCACTGCTGCTCTGAGTTGTCCGTCATCGGCTCTTACACCAGCGTGACCCAACTCCAGGCACAGGAGGACGCCTGGCTTCGTGCTTACCTTTTCTTTCTCCTCTCCCCCTCCACACCTGGATCCCGGCTGCTGCTGCTGCCCATCCCAAGTGGTTAAACAGAGGATGCAGATGTACAACTCTCCTTACCAGCGTGTGACGGACTGTGTGCGGGCTGTGTGGCGCAACGAAGGGGCTGGAGCTTTCTACCGCAGCTACACCACCCAGCTCACCATGAACATCCCCTTCCAAGCCATTCACTTCATGACCTACGAGTTCTTGCAAGAGCAGCTCAACCCCCACAGACAGTACAACCCGGGCTCCCACGTGGTCTCTGGAGCCTGCGCGGGGGCTGTCGCTGCCGCTGCCACCACGCCTTTGGACGTTTGCAAAACGCTGCTCAACACCCAGGAGTCCCTGGCTTTGAGCTCCAACATCAGCGGACACATCACAGGCATGGCCAATGCCTTCAGGACGGTGTACCAAGTGGGCGGCGTGACCGCCTACTTCAGAGGGGTCCAGGCCAGAGTCATTTACCAGATGCCCTCGACGGCGATCGCCTGGTCCGTGTACGAGTTCTTCAAGTACATCCTCACCAAGCGCCAGGAGGAGCGGCGGGCTGGGAAGTGAGCCAGAGCCCAACGCCGTGCCAGACCTGCTTCACCTCCCCTCCTGGTTTGTCTTCTGACCTCTCTCCCTTTCAGATTGGTTTGTGTCGAAGAGAGGGGGCAGCGAGGGCCTTTGGGCTTTAGCCATGAGGTGTTTGCCCCGTGGCTGCCGCAGCTCTGCTCAGGCTGCGGGGTTTGCTCTCCCCTGAAATGTCCCACTGGGAGCTGCAGCCCCGGTCACATCCCCTGGCACTTTGGTGGAGCCGTGTTCCTCTCCTGCCCTTAACCAACCCCCCCCCCTCACGCAAAGCTCACCCCTCCTTGGGGGGGAAGGTGAATGTCCTGCCCTCCCCCTGGCAGGGCCGCGCCGAGGAGGGGGTGGCTGCGCTGCCCCGGTTGCTGGGGGCTTTGTCTGGCTTTTGGCCTTGCCGTTGTCTTGTAGCACGCACACGTGATGCCCCGGTGGTGGTGGGGCGGGGGGAGAGGATGGCACTTGAGGAGGGGGAGCCTGTAGGTTTGTTGTTGTTCCTGCTCTTGACACCTCCAATAAAAACTGTTCTGCTCTGTCCTCATGTCCCCTCTTTACTCCCGGCACCGCTCCTTTGCCCGGTGCTGAGCTCTTTTGAGGGGTGCTGGAGAGGAAGGGAGATGGGGTCTGGAGGGGGGGGTGGTGGGAGGAGGGGACCTGCCTGGCCCAGCCACCCTGGAAACCTGCAGGAAGGGTGGTGGTCTCCATCTCTGGCTGCTGGCCTGGGCTGTGACCCCACTGGAGGAAGGTTGATGCTTCTCAGCCAGGCAGTCCCACACCCCCACTGACCCGGGGTCATCGAGATGCCTCCAGGACACGCCAAGTGGAGGTGGTGGCAGGAGGGCCCTGGGTTGGGGACAGCACTGGGTGAGGGTGGAGGGCTTTGTACACCTCACACAGGAGATTTGGGGGGCTCAGCAAGGCTTTTACCACCTCATTTTGAGTAATTAAACTAGTTTGTGCTGTGTTGGGCATCTTAAAACTCTTATCAACGCACATGCTTAAAATCACAGGATGACATGGGGTTGGAAGGGACCTCTGGAGATCATCCAGTCCAACCCCCTGTCAGAGCAGGGCCACCCAGAGCAGGTTCCAGAGAAACGTCTCCAGGCGGGTTTGAATGTCTCCAGAGAAGGAGACTCCACCACCTCTCTGGGCAGCCTCTGCCAGGGCTCTGCCACCCCCAAAAGAAAGAAGTTCCCCCTCATGTTTAGGTGGAACTTCTTATATTCAAGTTTGTGCCCGTTCCCTCTTGTCCTGTCCCTGGGCACCACTGAGAAAAGCCTGGCCCCATCCTCCTGACACCCACCCTTCAAGTATTTATAGGTGTTGATCAGTTCCCCCCTCAGCCTTCTCTTCTCCAGACTAAAAAGACCCAAATTCCTCAGCCTTTCCTCATACGGGAGATGCTCCAGGCCCCTCATACCTTTGTAGCCCTCTGCTGTCCCCTCTCCAGCAGTTCCCTGTCCTTCTGGAACTGGGGAGCCCAGAACTGGTCCCAGTGCTCCAGCTGGGGCCTCCCCAGGGCAGAGCAGAGGGGCAGGATGACCCCCCTCCTCCTGCTGCTCACACTCTTCCTGATGCCCCCCAGGATGCCCTTGGCCTTCTTGGCCCCAAGGGCCCATTGCTGGCTCATGGGCATCCTGTTGTCCACCAGGACTCCCAGATCTTTCTCCTCAGAGCTGCTCTCCAGCAGGTCACCCCCAACCTGTCCTGGTGCAGGGGGTTATTCCTCCCCAGGTGCAGGACCCTGCACTTGCCCTGGTTGAATTTCATCAGGTTCCTCTCTGCCCAGCTCTCCAGCCTCTCCAGGTCTGATAATTAATAGAGTAGCTTATTTCTTTGCAGTTTTGTTAGCTGTCTTGGTACCAGCTGGGGAGCTGCTGGCCGGCCTTGGCAGACCCTGTGCTCAGCACCCAAGTATCACCCACCAGCACTGACCTTCCCGGAGTAGAGCTCTGGGTTCCTCACACCGGGTGCCCGTGGGTGACGCCTGGCTCCTGTGGGGTGCTCTCACAGCACCCGCAGGAGGGGTGTCTGTCCCACACTGCCATGCCCAAAATACCTCCCTGGAGGAAATGCCTTCACAGCCCTGGTATGTGCTGCTGGCGAGCATCTGGGGCGGCTCGGGCAGCTCCAGAGGATCCACCAGCCCAGCCTGGCCAGCACAGAGGGCAAAGAGGTGTTGTCCTGGGGCTGGAAAGGCTGCTGGGTGAGCAAGGGAGGGGGGGCACAGCCCTCAGGGGCATGGGCTTTCAGAGGTTGGATGCCCAACTCCCTGCCCAAGCCCCATCCCAGCCCCCGCTCCACCTTCCCCTTCAGCATCTCTCTTGTCCCTGGTTCCCGAGGGTGGGAGACTGAGGACCCCCCGTTGCCCAGCAGGTCTGCGTGTCCTTGGGCACAGAGTGGCCACAGCCACTGCTCCACAGCCCAGGTCCTCCCGAATTGTGGGCTGTGCCCATCCTCTGCTCCCTGGCACCAGCTGCAGGCTCCTGGTTCCTGCTTTTTCTGCACAAGCCAAAGGACGAGAAGCTCCTTAAAGAAACAAAAGCTGCCGGAAGCCGGGAGCCTCCAGTTTTTCCACCATTTTAGGAGCTGGGGCTTTAAGAAATAGCCTGAGTATTGCAAGATCTGGCAGCCCTGCGGCTCCTCCACCCAAGAGGGAGAAATCGGAGAAGCAGAAATGGCTGGGAGAGACCCGGGGAGGATTAGCTCGGCGGGCAGGGCATGAGGCAGGAGTTTGCAGAAGATGGGTATGATCGGGCTCTGCCAGGGTGGATCTCCCTGCCCAGGAGCCAAAAGCTGTTGGCAGCAGAGCTGCAGCTTTACCTTTAGCCTTCCCCACACATCAGAGGCAATGAGAGACCCCGCAGAGGGGAAGGCAGGGACACGGGCTGGGACTGGGGGGAATTCACACCATTAAATCCATCGGCTGCTGGGAGAAGGTCTAAGGCATGATTGAAGGTGACTCCAGGATGTTGCCATGAATAACCACCCACAGAAGTGCTGGGGGAGGGAGCAAGACCCCTGGGAACGGAGAGACGCTAAGTCAGCACGGGGCAGTGATGCTGCCGTGTGAGTGCTGGGCCCTGGTGCTGCCCTGGTGAGGGCATGGCCTCTCCACTCCCCCAGCATGGGCATGGCTTCTCTGCTCCCCTGGTGCGGGCATGGCCTCTCCGCTCCCCCGGTGCGGGCATGGCCTCTCCACTCCCCCTGCATGGGCATGGCCTCTCCGCTCCCCCGGTGTGGGCATGGCCTCTCTGCTGCCCTGGCAAGGGCATGGCCTCTCTGCTCCCCCTGCATGGGCATGGCCTCTCCACTGTCCTGGCGAGGGCATGGCCTCCCTGCTCCCCTGGTGAGGGCATGGCCTCTCCGCTCCCCCAGCACGGGCATGGCAAGAAGGTCTATAAATGCCAACGGGCAAAGGCATGATTGAAGGTGACTCCAGGATGTTGCCATGAATAACCACCCACAGAAGTGCTGGGGGAGGGAGCAAGACCCCTGGGAACGGAGAGACGCTAAGTCAGCACGGGGCAGTGATGCTGCCGTGTGAGTGCTGGGCCCTGGTGCTGCCCTGGTGAGGGCATGGCCTCTCCACTCCCCCAGCATGGGCATGGCTTCTCTGCTCCCCTGGTGCGGGCATGGCCTCTCCGCTCCCCCGGTGCGGGCATGGCCTCTCCACTCCCCCTGCATGGGCATGGCCTCTCCGCTCCCCCGGTGTGGGCATGGCCTCTCTGCTGCCCTGGCAAGGGCATGGCCTCTCTGCTCCCCCTGCATGGGCATGGCCTCTCCACTGTCCTGGCGAGGGCATGGCCTCCCTGCTCCCCTGGTGAGGGCATGGCCTCTCCGCTCCCCCAGCACGGGCATGGCCTCTCCGCTGTCCTGGTGAGGGCATGGCCTCTCTGCTCCCCTGGTGAGGGCATGGCCTCTCCGCTGTCCTGGTGAGGGCATGGCCTCTCTGCTCCCCTGGTGAGGGCATGGCCTCTCCGCTGCCCCGGCGCTTCGCCAGCTCTCCCAGGTGTTGCTCAGAGCGGGCAGCAGCCGCCCCGCAGAGGATGGCGTTGCCTGTGAGGGGTCTGGCTCCTCAGGGCTTCCTGAAGAGGCTTCCAGGGGGTTTCCAGATGTGCCTTGGGCCAAGCCGCGAAAAATCCCCTGTCCTGCTGCCATCTCCATCCCTCGAGCCAGAGCTCTGCCTGTGGCTGGTACGTGGCTGCTCCACAGCTCTGCTGGGGTGAGATGTCCCCTCACCAGCGAGCCTGGCTCCTCTGGTGCCGTTGGCATGAGGAAATGCCAGAGGCAATGGGGTTATTGGCTGGTTCTGCCATGGCCGCTGCCTTTCCAAGGTCTGATAAGGCCTCGGAGAAGCCACACTGTCTGTGTCTGGGTCTGTCCTGTGGCCTCTTAAGTATTTGGCTGCGCTTTGGGAGAGATCCCTCCTACAGCCTCTTCTGAGTAAAGAGATTATTTTTGGCTTTCCAGCAAGGGAGCCATGCTTAGCTTGACGGAGTTCTGGAGACAACCCTTTTTCTTCTTGTGTCCCTGCAGGATCCCTTGCCACATCCAGCAGGGACGGGGATTTGCTGCCTTGCCCACCCATGTCCGGCTGCCCCTTCAGCCCTGTCCTGCCACTGGGGCCAGAACGGGGGTCCCAGGTTGGGGTGAGCCCCAAGGCAGCACCACTGGCCTTACCCTGCTCCGGGTGACAGATCCGGGGCTGCCCCAGCTCTGCCGTGGCAGGAGCCCAAGCTATTTCAGGCAGCCCAAGGTTGCCATGCCAGGAGCAGCTCAGGAGCCCCTGGCTGCCAGGGATTTGCTGCCTTGCCCGCCCGTGTCCGCCTGCCCCTTCAGCCCTGTCCTGCCACTGGGGCCAGAACGGGGGTCCCAGGTTGGGGTGAGCCCCAAGGCAGCACCACTGGCCTTACCCTGCTCCGGGTGACAGATCCGGGGCTGCCCCAGCTCTGCCGTGGCAGGAGCCCAAGCTATTTCAGGCAGCCCAAGGTTGCCATGCCAGGAGCAGCTCAGGAGCCCCTGGCTGCCTTCCTGGGGTAACTGGAGACGCCTGCACCCCCACAGGTTAAGAGCAGGGCTGGGGTGAGGGGAGCTGGGGGGAGTTCATCACCCCCCGAGCAAGAAGGGGAGACCCCTCCAACACGTCTGCCCTGTACCTGGGGCCGGTGGACTCCTGAGCTGCTCCTGCCTCAAGGACCCCACGCAGGGCACTGGGTCCCAGCCCAGTCTGGGTGCAGGCGGGGGGGTGAGGGCACTGCCCTGCTGAACTGCATCCCTGCCCCTCCTCTGCTGGCACACGGAGCTTCCCCGGCCTTTCCTGCCCCCCAGCCCCCCTGCGGTGGGTGCCAGGCTCGGTGGGAGGAGATGGCTGAGACCCCCATGGGTGGTGGAGGTGGGCTTCCAGCCTCCCTCCAGCCCCAACCCACCCTGGCTCTGGAATTCCTCAGTGCTCTGTCAGACCCCAATAAAGTCACACACGTTCTCATGATCCCACAGCCTTACAGCGGTGGTAAACGCGGGCGCCAGGGCTT